AAGAGGCAAGACTAACACCTTGCTCTTCGCTTAGACTGGCTGCAATTTCTTGGCTACTTATAGTCGTATTCTTCGCAACTTCTCTCTTGATTACCCTGCCAGTTCTAACATCAATCTTTTTCTTTTGTCCCCTTGTTTCCTTCCTTGGAGCAGGAGTGACATCATTATGTGCCCTAAGCACTCGAGAGACAGTTGATTGCGAGGTTATAGTAATTTCTGCAATTTCTCTCGTAGACTTACCTGCTTTTGAGAGGGCAATAATAGATGCCTTAAGTGGTTTTGAGTGGCTATTTCAAGCTGTTTTTATACTGTATGAGGCGTTCTGGAATTTAATTTAAGCTGTTCTAGAATTCTCTAGAATAGTGTTCTGAGTGTATTGTAAAATAGTTTCCAGTATTTTGTCAAAAGTTCTTTAAATTTACCAGTTTAGTCCTTAGAATGCGATATCTGAATCACTTGTTTTGCACAGAGTTTTTTCCTGAATCTCATTTATATCCAAATTTATAATTATCAATAGAATACCATAGGGTGAATAAACTTTTTTTCCTAGGTGGTCGGGAAGGGGTTTTTATAATAGTGAGATTAAAGTTATTTTAACCCCAAAAACAATAGATAAAAAATATTTTTAGTAAAAAAAATCAGGTGAGTCACTTTTATCGAACAGCACTGTATGTAATCCTTTATATTTTAATCTATAATTAATCTATATAATCTTTTAATCTAATCTTACCTTTTATTAATCTATTTTAAATTTTTTTCCATTATATTGTAACTTTTTTCATTTGAGATATTAATTATCTATTTATTTTAATTTCTTCTTTTATCTTATTATTGCTATTATTTAAGTTTTCTTGTTCATATGTCTTAATTTTTTATTGTAATATTAAATTCCTTTGTTTTAATATTAAAATTAAATGATAGTTTTAATATTAAATTCTAATTTTTCTTTTATCTACCAATTTTAAAACTCTTCTTTTTCTAAACTTTAATGAGTCTATTTTCTTATGTAATTTTTTTCCAATTCTAACTTTACCGATTTGAATAAGAATTGACATTTTAAATATTGTTCAATATTAATCTTCAACCGTTTTTAAGTTCTGTCTAGACTTGTTTATGTTCAGTCTTCCGGTAATTACGTTGGTGTTTCTTTTACTTTTTCTTTTTTTTCTACCTCCCTCTTAAATACAATTTCCCTTATTTGAGCTTTGTTCCGTTGTTTTCCTCTCTTTTTTCTTCTTTTTTTTTCTTCTTTTTTTTAATTTTAAAGTAAAAAAAAAAAAGGTTACGATTCATTTTGTATCAAACGGTTTAGTATTGACAAGCTACAGGGAATCTGTCCCGAGGAGCAAAATAGCCATAAAAATGGGGTACATGTGAGTTTCACTTTTATGTAATTCATCCACGTTACAATAGCGTGTTTGTCATTGTAATTTACCCCTGACGATGATCTTAGAAAAAATCGAAAGTACTTGGGTTAGAAAAAAAATACGACGCTTTCCTTGATGTATTTCATCTTAACATCAAGAAACTTATTAGACAACTGGAAATGATGTGTATATAAATGGACACAATATGTCTATATTATTCAATGAAACATGTTTCAATGAAGATATCCTGCCTAAATATACATACATACAAACATATATATATATATATATATATATAGATCGATAGAGAGAGAGAGAGAGGGAGAGAGATAGAGGGGGGGGAGAGAATACAGATTGAGGGAGTGAACGTAGAGGAAGAAGAAAGAGGGAAAAGAAAAAAATGGTGGCGGCTAAAGACAGAAAGAATATTTTAGAAAAAAGTGGATATGGAGGAAACATTAAGGTAAAGAAGAGACAAGAGAAAAAAAGAAGTGAAATAAAATGGCGGATAGAGCGTGAGTTGGAGAACGAGAAAAATAGAGGGCTTATCGGTAAGAGGAAAAGGATAAGAGAAGTACAGAAAATAGGAGGAGGAAGGCCGGGAGGCTTAAGAGAGGGAGAGAAAGAGAGGGTGTGAGAGAGAGAGAGGGGGGGTGAGAGAAAGAAAAGATAGATTTCAGAAAAAGAAAGAGACAAAGAGAAAGAATATTGGTTTTAGAGGGTGACAAGCGAAGGTAAGAATAGATAGCAGATTAACAGATAGATAGATAGATACACAGAGAGAGAGAGAGAGAGAGAAGAGAGAGAAGAGAGAAGGAAAGAAGAGTGAGAAAGAAAAGATGAATTTTAGAAGGTGACAAGCGGAGGTAAGAATAGAGGACAGATTAACAGATAGATAGATAGATAGATAGATAGATAGACAGAGATAGATAGATAGAAAGAGAGAGAAGAAAAATCAAAACAGAGAAAGAGAGAGAGAAAGAAAAAAAGATTGACTTCAGAGGTGATAAGAGAAGATAAGAATAGATGACAGATTAAAAGATAGATAGATAGAGAGAGAGAGAGAAGAAAGAAAATCAAAACAGAGAGAGCGAGAGAGAGAAAGAGGGAGAAAGAGAAAGAGGGAGAAAGAGAAAGAGGGAGAAAGAGAAAGAAAAGATTGATTTCAGAAGGTGACATGCGAAGATAAGAATAGATGACAGATTAACAGATAGATAGATAGATAGAGAGAGAGAGAGAGAGAGAAGAAAGAAAATCAAAACAGAGAGAGAGAGAGAGAAAAAGAAAGAGAGATAGATAGAAAGAAAAGATTGATTTCAGAAGAATGGTGACAGAGTGAAAGGGGTTGATTCATTTTTTACGGCTTATCAATCCCTTGCATGTTATTTAAAATAAAATATTTTTAGATTCTAAGAATATTGTTTGGCGGTAATAATGGTTTAGTGTTTCAAGCCTTACTAATTAACCCATAGTACGGGGGAGAAGAGATAGATTCATACTCTTCCCATGCGTAAGTGAATCTAACAAATCCAATGGAAATTAGAACTTGGTTCTCCGATTAACAATTCCGAGCCAACATCAATTACACCACCCGCACAAATAAGCCTCATTACCTGGTATTCCCAAGCGGTCACCTATGTAGATACTGACCAGGCTCGATGTTGCTTAACTTCGGGTATTGTACGGAAATCGGTGTTTCAACGCAATGAAGAAGAAGAGGTAGATTTATAACGTTCCCAAGGATATTTACGCGTAAGTGAATCTAATGAATCCAATGGAAATTAGAACTCGGCTCTTTGATTAACAATTCCGAACTAATATCAATTACACCACCCGCACATATAAGCTTACAGTTCCTGGTATTCCAAAGCGGTCACCTATGTACCGTATTTTCCGGCTAACAAGACGCACTTTTTTCCCTAAAAAATACCATGAAAATTACGTGTGCGTCTTCCAAGACGAATGTAAGGCAACGCCCAGGCTCAAGTAAGCTTGGACGGTCACCTGATTGGTTTGATTGATAGGGACTTGGATTTGTATGCTGAGTCATTACATTATAATATTAGTTATCTAATTCAGCCTTTTATATGATGCAACCTCAGTACTTAGCTGTTACAAGTATTTCCAAGATTATAAACCTTCCTGGAGCCGAGCCGCAACCTTAAACATGCTCTGTTTACTAGCAGCGGCGGGAACCTTTCTGCTCTTGACTAGTATCGGATTAACAAAATCGGACGAGTGATTAATGTAAACAATACATGGTACCAGTATGTATGGGACGCATGGTGAATGTGTTGTATGAGAATGACATTTTTTATGTTAGAAATTTCTTTCCAATATTAGGGCGAGTCTTCCAATCCGCAGCGTCTTGTAAGCCGGGGAATACGCTACATACTGACCAGGCGCGACGTTGCTTAACTTCGGTAATTGTACAGGAATTGGTGTTTAAATGCGATGAGGAAGAAGTACTTAGCTGTTACAAGTATTTCCAAGACTATAAACCTTACAGTACCTTGTATTCCCAAGCGGTCACCTATGTAGATACTAACTAGGCTGGGCATCAGTGATCGTAATAGAACCGATATTTTAACGTTATATGGCCATAAGCCATCGGGGATTATATTCCGAATGTAAATACCCCCTATCCCGGAAATTCAGACAGAAACTTATGTTAAGTTGTTATAGCTGCAATGTTTTTGATTTTCTGGGGAGAATTTCTCTGGATGTTGAAGATGCATAAGAATTCGCCATTGTTTACGTTCGATCTTGTTAATATTTTGAACTTTCGACTGGCGTTTGCCATTAGTTTTGTTTTGGGCTTTTTTCTTCTTCCACTGTGTCAATCTATCAAGTGTCTTTTTTGTCTGATGTTTTCTACTACCGATTACTAAGGAAATTACATTCAAAATGACATTCATCACTCTTGCTAATTTGGTCATGGTGATTAGTGGTAACTTTTATTATCCGCGTGAACAGGCTAAGCTCTTGAATTAACTCCAGACATTAAGCACACACACACACACACACACACACACACACACAGAGCGAGAGAGATATAGAGAGAAAGAATGAGAGAGTCAAACAGAAAGGGAAGAGAAAACGGGCGAGTGGTAAGAGAGATTAAAAGTTAGTGGCAGAATGAGGGAACGACAAAATGAGGGGGAAGTCATTGAAAAAGATAGTGAGAAAGAGAGAGGGAGAGAGAGAGGGGGAGAAAAGGGGAAAGTGAAAGACAGCTGGTGTCAGAGAGTGGTAGAGAATGACCCAGTGTGTGAGTGAGAGTAAGAGTGTGAGAGAGAAAACGAAACAGGCAAAATGAGTGAGAGAGAAAGGGGGAGTGCGAGAACAAAAAAGTTGGAATAAAAGAATGAAAGCGACAGACACACACATACTCACACACACAGATAGGGTAACAGAGAAAGGGAGTGAGAGAGAAAGTGAGGGGAAGTCAGTGAGAACCATAATGGGAGTGGAAAAAGAGAGAAAAGAGATGCAAACAAAGAGTGAAAGGATAAAAGAGTGTGAAACAGTTTAAGAGATAGAGGGAGAAAGAGAGAGAAGACTATGAGAGAATTATTTAAAAGGAGAGTAAGACATAGAATTAAAGAGGGTGATAGAAAGAGTGAGAGTGAATTAGGGAGAGTGAAAACGACATAGTGATTGAGAGAGAGTAAAAGGGAGAGAGAGAGAGTGAAACAGTTTAAGAGATAGAGGGTGAAAGAGAGAGAAGACAATGAGAAAATTATTTAGAGGGAGAGTAAGATATAGAATGAAAGATGGTGATAGAAAGAGTGAGAGTGAATTAGGGAGAGTGAAAACGACATAGTGATTGAGAGAGAGTAAAAGTGAGAGAGAGAGAGAGTGAAACAGTTTAAGAGATAGAGGGAGAAGGAGAGAGAAGACTATGAGAGAATTATTTAGAGGGAGAGTAAGACATAGAATGAAAGGGCGATAGAAAGAGTGAGAGTGAATTAGGGAGAGTGAAAACGACATAGTGATTGAGAGAGAGAGTAAAAGTGAGAGAGAGAGAGAGAGAGTGAAACAGTTTAAGAGATAGAGGGTGAAAGAGAGAAGACTATGAGGGAATTATTTAAAAGGAGAGTAAGACATAGAATGAAAGAGGGTGATAGAAAGAGTGAGCGTGAATTAGGGAGAGTGAAAATGACATAGTGATTGAGAGAGAGTAAAAGGGAGAGAGAGAGAGTGAAACAGTTTAAGAGATAGAGGGTGAAAGAGAGAGAAGACAATGAGAGAATTATTTAGAGGGAGAGTAAGACATAGAATAAAAGAGGGTGATAGAAAGAGTTGAGAGTGAATTAGGGAGAGTGAAAACGACATAGTGATTGAGAGAGAGTAAAAGTGAGAGAGAGAGTGAAACAGTTTAAGAGATAGAGGGTGAAAGAGAGAGAAGACTATGAGAGAATTATTTAAAAGGAGAGTAAGACATAGAATGAAAGAGGGTGATAGAAAGAGTGAGAGTGAATTAGGGAGAGTGAAAACGAGATAGTGATTGAGAGAGCGTAAAAGAGAGGGATAAAGAGTGAGATATAAAGAGAGAGTGAGGGAGAGAGAGCGAGAGATGGCGAGAGAAATGTAGAGGGGATTAAGGAAAGAAAATGAGAAACTGCGAACATTTGATTGTTATCGCGTCGTTTCGTTAGGATAATGAGTTTGGTTACCTTCTCAATACCCGCTGACATTGTGTTAATTGAAGTCTGGCATATGACAGCATATTCCATCAAGAATCCCTGACCCCCGCATCGTTAGCAGTTCACGTTTCAAAGCGGAAAACAGCATTTCGAAGGGCCTCCCTATTTTTTTTGCGCGCGCGCGAAAAATAAAACAAAATACAAAAACACTCTTTACATACATTTATCATTTCTATCTACGGGACAATGGCCTAGTGGATAAAAGCGTTGGTTTGTGAATTTGGCAACATAAAGGTTGTGAGTTCAAATCCTGGGTCTGACAGCGTCTACTTGGACTCAGAAGAAACAACCGGGTGAGCAATAAATAAACATGAGCAATAGAACGAGAACAGTCTATCCACGTAGATTAAATAAAGTGTTCAGTTCGGAATTCCCTGAGGAAGGCCGGAGGGCACAACGGCTGAAACGTTGTGTTAAAAACAACAAAGATGAGGACAATAGTCCGAATATAAATAATGTTATCATCTTAGTTGATGTAGCTTATTAGAGACACACCATTTCGGTCGAATACACTCTGGCCATCATCAGGTGTTCATTGTTTGGCTGATAGATGATGTCTTTTGATCTGATATTGAATGCTCTAAAAACAAACCTTTGGGAAGATTGTACTGCATATTCTTCTATACTCTATGTCGTGTCAGGACGCTGACAGTAATAGCTCTCCACAATTTCCTGGACTTTGCTCTTAATAATTCACAATTCACAATCTTCAGGATTGTGTTGTGCATAAAAGTCTGAGTTGTGATACTGGTAAGGAATATATATATATATATATATATATATATATCTGTAAAAGGCATGGTGTGTGTGTATGTGTGTAACAAATGCACGGCCGCAATTTTCGACGGATTTGCACCAAAATTTACATGCACATGCTCCAAGTTAGCGGGAAGGCCAAGACCGACCTTGCATTTCCCAACTCCCATCGATAGTGGAAATAATCGATTTTTTCATGCTTCTACGGCAGTTTTCATGTAGTTTGCGACCATTTTGTACTGGCTAATAGCTGGCTGCCACAAATAGGCAGGAAGATTCTATTGGCCAGCGTGAGAGCCAACAGCTGACTGACACGAATGTTAACTAGCATGGTAGCATGCAAAAAAAAAAAAAATCGATAGCTGCATTCGTCACAAGTGAGAAAAATTAAAATCTGCATGACACTTTTACTCCAATTGGCTCATTCGCTTGCTTAAACTCAACGTCGATTCTGATTCCGCAGAACTGGGTTGGGTGTGAAAAAGTATTTGTTGTTAACATTCTTTTTTCATTCGGTTTTTCCAGTTACGAGTCCTTTTTTTAGCTGATCGTTTTGTGTTCATTTTGTTTAGTTCTTTTTTCCTAACAGATTTAATGTTTAGTATAGAGCTTAGAAAAAATTCACAGTGTGAGTTAGGCAAGAAGTAAGGCATGTAGCAACATCAACACAGCAAAGGGCACTCCTTTAAAGGCAAGGAAGGGTAAAAATATTTTAAGTCAAGTGATAGCGATTGCTGTATGAGTTGTACGATTTTTGAATCAAGGACGGGCAACGCCAGGCCATGCTGCTAGTATATATATATATATATATATATATATATATATATATATATATATATCTGAGATGATGCATTATGATTACTTGCATTATTTACATTATTCGGATGGTTATCCTCATCTTTATTGCCATATTCACAACGTTTCGGTCGTGTTAAAGTTTCAAGACTGCAATTAGAAAAATTGTTCGTAAAATCAAACAAAACTGGGTCGGTGGCAGATGTGAAAACACCATTGCATGCTCGTTTACGCCGTTCAGCTAAAAACATTGCTGTAGTGCACGAGAATGTGACGGAAAATCCAGACACCTCTATTCGTCATCGCGCGCAGGAATTTCACCTCTCCACAACAACGTTACATCGTTTCCAATTGCACTCTCGGTTGGTCGATTATGTTGACCCAGAAAAATCGTGCGGGAAATGCATTTCTGTTTGAATGTCCATTTTCGTAATAGGCTTCGATAACTTTAACACATTGTTTGATTGTTAATCTTTCCATGGTTGAAATTGCCAAAGTTTTTAAATCTGAAAGAAAAAGAAAAAAAATCATTAGACGCTTAAACTTAATTCACATTTAAAATCTGTCCAAGTTACTGGAACAACCTTTATTAATATTTCCTTTCTGTTGTATATTCATTTCCTTCCGTGTACCAACCAGAGACCTATGGTCAGAAATGGCATCATAACATTTTTACTGGGTATAAAAAAGAGACAAAGACCACACATAGATAAAGCCTTTCGTAAAGTGTGAGCTCTACTTGTGAGAACAATATTTTTTTGTATTTCGTTAAAACACGGGATGGGTTTCTAGGAATCGCTTCAATCCAATCAAACCGAGGGTTCCAACTAAGACTGGAATTACTGATGCGCCAGATTTTTTAGATTTTCCACTTCAAGATCCTTGTATTTTGATAGGTTGATAGTTATTTGATGATCTTCAAAAATACATTACAGCCTGCAGGAACTGCTATGTCAATAAGAAAACATGTTCTTTTGGTTATTGATTACGATATCTAGGCGATTAGCGTTGATTTTTCTGTCTGTGTGTATTCCAAAGTCCCATAAATTTATTATTATTATTATTATTATTATCATTTCCTTTGGTTTCTGGCGTCTGCACATTTCTTTCCGGTTCCCGCTCAGGGACCTAAGGTTAGAAATGGCGTCATGACAATTTCCACTGACAAAAAAAAAAATTAAATTACATAGATAAAACCCTTCGTAAGGTGTGGGCTGTACTTGTCAGAACAATTTTTTGTATCTCTTTGAGGCATGGACTTCCAGGAATCCCTTCAATTAGTCTACTGCAATCTTTTCCAACCAGTCCTAGGGCTCCAACTACAACAGGGATTGTTGATGTTCCCATATGCCACATTTTCGAGATTTCTATTTCAAGGTCCTTGTACTTTGACAACTTTTTGAATATCTTCAAAGATATATTGCAGTCAGCAGGGACTGCCATATCAATAAGGAGGCACCGTTTTTGTTTGTGGTCTTTAATAACAATGTCTGGGCGGTTGGCTTTGATTGTTCTGTCAGTGTGTATTGTGTAATCCCATAGAATTGTAACAGGTTCTATCTCCGTAACCGGGTCTGGGTGGTGTTCATACCAGTTTCTTTCAGTTTCCTTCCCGTAGAAGTTGCAGATTTTCCAGTGCAGATATTGGCCCACTCTGTCATGCCGGGTTTTATATTCTGTGGGTGCCAACACCGTACAACCTGATACAAGATTATTATTATTATTATTATTTCCTCTGATTTCTGTTGTATAGACATTTCCTTGTTAGAAGAGTCTTTAAATTTATTTAAGGCTTGGGCTACTAGGAATCCCTTCAATGGGTCTATCAGAAACTATTCCAATTAAACCCATGGTCCCAAACAGAATTGGAATTATTGATGACTTCATGTTTTTTTTTTGTTTTTTTTTAAGCGTTTCACCTCAAGCAAGGCGAGAAGCCACTAGGACGCAAGGGGTTACAGAAAATTTGGAGCAAGATCAGATAGGAGTGATAGAGGAAAGGATGAGGAGAATGATAGTGGATAGATCAAGGCAACTGGAGATGTCGATTGACATTACATTTGAATAGTTGGAGATTATAGCTATTAGGGAAACAGGAATAGGGAAAGGAGTTCCACAGGCGAGAAGTGCGAGACATGAAGCTATTGGAGTAGAAGAGACGGCTACATTTGGGAGTTTCGACAGTGAAAGGGTGAGAGCGGGATGCCGGCCTCGTAGGGCGCTTGAATTCATGAAGTCTGGGAACCAACGAAAGCAGCTCATCGGAGCAATTGCCATGAAAGTATTTGTAAAACAGACAGAGAGTGGCGCTACCATGTATTCAATTGTGAAAGCAGAATAACATATATCATATTTTTATTACTTCAAAGCTAAAAATTAAGTGCCACATCTTTTAGATTTCCACTTCAAGATCTTTGCATTTTGATAGTTTCTTTTTTAAAATCTTCAAAGATACATTAAAATCTGCAAGAACGACCATGTTAATAAGAAATCACATTCTGTTTTTTTTTATTTTGATTTTCATAAGTAGAATTGTTGCATTTAGGCTGATGAAAATCCGAAGAAGATTGTTGAAAAGCCATTGCATCCACAAAGGTCATTGTCTGATGTGCATTTTTTGCTAGCGGAATCATTGGGCCGTATATTTATAAATTTGAGCGTCCATTTTCATAATAGGCTTCGATAACTTTAACACGTTGTTTGATTGTTAATCTTTCCATGGTTAAAATTGCCAAAGACTTAAGTTGTTAAATCTGAAAGAAAAGGAAAAAAAAATCATTAGGCACTTAAACTTAATTCACATTTAAAATCGATCCAAGTTATTGGAACACCCATTATTTTTAATTCTCTAATATCAGCGTTCCGTCTTTGGATTTTATGCGTCCTTTTGATGACCATGATTTTTGTTCTGTAAATTCTTTTAATTTTTTTATGCATGATTGCTTTATCTGTGATACTCATTCTTTCTATTCCAGTACATATTTCGTTGATTCATTCCTCTTTAGCTTGCCTGCATTTGTTCCTTATTTTTTTATGTAGCATTTTGTATTCTGTTCCGTGTCTTGGTATTGTTTTTGTCTCCTCTTCATCATGTTGAGAATCTCATCTGTCATCCATTTATTATATCTGTAATCTTGTCTATGCCGAAATCATCTAAGGCTGCTACCATCTCTATTACAATTCCGTTTGGCCCTGCCACTTTGTTTCTGTTTAGTTCATCTAGTGCTGATTCCAGTTTCAGATTGAGAGTGTTTGTAAAACAAAGATATCTCGTCAGACACTCCAAACGTTTTTTTTAAAGTAAAATTCATTCTGTTCAAGGCCCGCGGGTCACTCGAGGTAGAGGGTTAGGTTAAGGGGTAGTTTATATGGATAGTAGGGGAAGATAGCGTTTAACTCTAGACTTGAACAGGTTAAGATTGTAGTGATCGGGGAAACATCCTCTTGAATGTCTGTTCCACGGGGCAGCGGTTACCGGGAAGCTGTTCGAGTAGAACTTACTTCTCACCGATGGAATACGGGGGAAATGTGGGTGGT